TTAAACACAATATACATAAAATGTCTTTTTTTCAGAGAAAGAACTGAATTTAACATTTTTTATAGAATATAATTCACTTATTCTCACCAAAAGTGCAGATGCTTTTGCCTCTTCCGCTCCATCAATGATGCAAAACATCATCTGGACGAATTCTTGAAATGGGGTTGAGAGATTGCATTAAGTGCAATTACAAAATATGTTTAGGAACACCAATCTGTAATCTGTGTAACTATATGTAAACGCGCGATCAGGACATGACGCATATGTTTTGGTTTGAATGCAGGGCCCAACTGATCCGATGCAAGTGAATCACAAGCACATACAACAAATGTCCCCACAATCGGGAATCCGAATTCGAAACCAGCAACTCCAACAGTTGCTATCCGAGAGATACGTTTCCTGGGGTGTGGTGGTGATGAAAATATTGCACAAACATGGCAAGGGAAAAACATCAGTAGAAGTGGAAAACAACGGCGAAGCAGATAGAATTGAAATAAAATGCATGTCATGTTCGAGCTGATGGCTGTCGCTTTTCCCGGCCACATGTGGCGTCCCTTGCCGGTTGCAATTTCCAAGGAATTATGAAAATTAGCCAAGCCAAATGCAAACAGCTATCCCCGCACTTTTTGTTTTCTTTCACTTGCGATCTTCTGGTGCTTCGTTAAGTGAATTTTGTGCGAAACTTATTATTTTATTTGCATACATTTTTATAGAGACAACACAACACACTACATCGAAGAATGAACCGAGCACTCGGCCTCCGTATCCATGGGATACACATGTGATTTGCATGTGCGGTTCGTCATCGGCTTCATGATCATGATCACTCGTTGTCGGCTGACTCGATGGACTGCCACATGAATGCAATGATGACGATAGCCAGTAATGACGATTATGGTATTCATAATGTTTGACTGCAATTTACTATTTACACTTCATTTAGCGGCGACAACTTTAAGTGAAATGTGTCCACATTGGCTGAGTGGTTTGCTCGCTTTCCTGTATCTGTGAGATACTCGGCGCGGCGATCTCCTGCGTGAAACAATAAGATATAATAAGCATCGCAATTGAATAAAGCGCCCGCAGCTCCAGCTAATTGGAGAATTAGCTCAAGTGTGAGGATAGTTCGGACAAGTGGATTGTGTAAGGAGCGAATCTCGGGAATGGGTTCACTGAGGACTACTACACCCGGCCACTCGACTCAAAAAGCTTTTCCCTCACCACCACGGAGTAATGCGACTTGAGTTCCAAAGATTTACTCACTATCTTGGTCAGCAGTTTATGGTACACAGAAATACTTAGTAAAAAATATAAATATCTTGGTTTGGAAAAGATATAAGAAAATGCAATAATTTTAATTTGAAAGAAATGGGTTTTGAAGATTTATTTAAACAACCATATTCATAGATGTTTTAAAAATGTATAGTAAAAGCAGCGAAATAATCTTCTCTTTCAGTGTACAAATACACAGATATCAGATTTTCAAGGTTTCTAAAAGATACAATAAATTGTTTTAAGCAACAAAATATATTATATAAATGTTCTTAGTTGTTTAGTCAACCAAGCATAATAAACTTCTCTTTCTTTTTAGTGAAAAACTTGACTGTTAGGTCTATATGAAAACGCAATTTCTGAATTCCCTTCAATTCAAGAAACCTTTTCGAAACCCACTTCTTGGCAATAGTTTTGCATTGGCCGTCTTCCATGTGGACATAAACAATATGAAACTGGCTTATCTGGCGGTCCCTCTCAGTTTTCATTATCCCAGATATATATTTATGTATATATGCTTGACAATTGCGAAACACTTCTAGACCTCAAGCAAAGTGACTGACTTGTTTACTTTATATCACATGTGACGCAAGGCACTTCTTGAATTATCTACCATGGAAATTAATGAATGTCTAAAGCGGATATCATAAAAATAGGCACAGCACAAGAAAGATATATTTATGTGGGTTATTTCGTTAGTTTTTGTCTACCATTGCGGCCCAACCATCTAGATAGCGGAAAACAGTCTTTTTAATTATTCCGCTTGACCCAAAACGAAAACGAACCAGAACAAAATAAAAAGCCTCAATGAATCGAACGACGGAGATTTGCGAAAGCCGAGCCGAAGGCGAATGCAAATCAATGGAGTTCGCGTCTGGGCGATAACCCCCATATCATATCAGCAGTTCTGTCTGTCTTCAGTTTATATACCATACGGTGGTTCGGGCCCCTGAACCTCTCCCATGAATAATACCATGGAATTACAGGAGGCATAAATATAGGTACGAATTTGCCTTCAGCTGCGTGTAAAAAAGAAGTAAATGCACTCGTCGTGACATCGACTAAGGTGACACAACCACCATTCGAAGCCCGAGCTTAAGCCATACACAGCCAGGCTGATCGTCTCTATAAATATTCAACAAGTATGGGACCGGCTTGTAAGCTGGGTGGGTATATGTATATAAGTCCCAGTACTTAGTCGCTCTGTGTGTTTGTCATTGCGCATTTTTAACCCTTTGGGGTTAAGTTAAACATTACGATTACGTTTCACATCGCTTAATTTTTGTGCGCGTTTCCATTGTTTTTCACAGCCGTATTCGCTGGCATTCTTTTGCCATCTGTGTGCCGCTTCAATTGTAACTTTAATTCCATCATCTGCGGTTGCAGCAGCGGCAGCGCCAGCAAATTTTCCTAATCAATAAACAAATTATAAACATTTATAATGATTGCAGGCAGGCAGCTTATCGGTTGGACAGCGGTCTTATCAAGGCCAGGGCGCTCTATTTATAATACCACTGCCGGACTCTTAGATTCGGACATGATTTTGCTGCCACACGTGGCACGTGTTGAACGGGTTGTCCGCATTGGTCTGCACGAAAAGGTTTGACTGTTTAAAGTCATAAATAGTAGCGTATCGTGAACTAGTCACAAGTCAACTAGTCACTAGTCAATAGTGAAATATAATATACTATGACAATTGTTTTTAAATCAATTGTGTTTACATTATTGTATCTTACAAATTTATATTTCCCTTAATTCGATCGTGGTTACAATTTTTCGAAAACACATCAAGATAAATTATAAATTTTAAAATGAAGCGAGAGAGATACATCTTTGAACATAATTTCAGTGTATTGGATAGTTATTTAATCCGTTGCTTATAAGGTATTTTTACATAGTCTGATTTAGACGTTTTGGCTTTTTTTCACATTTGGTGTAAGCACCTGTCCGATTTTTGATTTTACACACAACTAGAGTAGCCACTTGAGATATTCCACAATCAAAACTGATCTCAAATGTCAAAAACTCAAGAAATTAAGACTGTGAAAAGAGGCCCTATGTTTGATAGTGTACAGAATTATCAGAATTATAAAATATAAATAAATTACAAATAAAGTCATAAGACGTTTGAAGAATACCTTTAAATGATATATTTCCGGGATATTATTCTATTCAATTAATTAAACATACCAGGTTCTTGCAACTCCTGCTCCATTTCCTCCACCTTGTTCACCTTCATTAGCTGCTGACCATCCGAAACGCTCAGGTCCTGCGGATGCTTCATGGTATGGTGACTTTTTATGTACAGGCTGGTCAAAGAAATCCAATCACATAGTTATAAAGTCAGTCTGAAAGTGGAAAGGGAAATCGATTAGCTGTCGTATATCAATCTATTGCTGCCTAAACCCACAACACATTAAAGTTTTAATGATGGGCCGTTGCTAATCAAACTGAAGTATCGCCTGTAAATCTACAAATATATGGGTGTATATGACGTTAGTGCACACAATGTAGGTGTCAATTCGAGTGCCCGACAACCAAACGCTTTTCATTACAAGTCCCCCATCGGATATTTTTGTAGGGAGGACTCATTTGTTTTATGATCGCATATCAGCGATATGCCAGACACACCTGTACTAGGCTTCTATAAACCAAAGCCACACTCCTCCGTCAAATATCAAAAATCTCAAAAAATAAAAGGTAACACAAAACCCCAAAAAAAATTCCCGAAATCATAATCTTCAATGCTTTATTGTCTGGCCCATGGGGCAGATAAAAACAATCATTGCGGCAAAAAAGAGAAGGTGAAAAAGTGGTTAAAAAAAAAATTCACTCACCGCCGATAACGCTGAAACAAAAAAAAATGTCTGATTATCAGACATTTATTGTTCCTTCTGGCCATTTACCATTATGTGAATTTGTTTTTCTCGCCCGACTTTTTTGCGATTTTCGCTCGAGTGCCAGAACAGCCGATAAGCCCCATGGCTCTACGAGTTCTATCCCACTGGTGATATTCCCTCGTGCCCCCGTATCTCCCTTCAATTTCTCTTCCCTATCGCTTATCGTGGTGCTACTGACGCAGACCCCCTCGGATGTATTGTCATTTTGTCACCTTTGAACCCTCGTGACTGTCGCGATCTGCTTGAAACGCCGCCAAAAACAAAAATCATAAGGCCAAACTAAATGAATAAATTTGTATCTCAATTTTCGGGGAAATGTAGATAAACGTAGCCTTAGAACGAGAGCGATTACTTATCCATTATTCCACCTTGGTATTGAAAAATTCGAAGACAAAACGACCTAGCTTTGTTTTTGTGTTTTTAATTAATTAATTAACCTTCAAATTATATTTATCGAATATTGTCTTTATTTATAACATTTGACTTATGATATAAAGATTCATAAGGAAGAAATGGCAGTAAACTTGGAGAAGGCAATATATTTAACACTGTAGTGGACCTAAAGTTGGTTTTTTTTAAATCGAAAAACACCTTGGGGAATTGGGTTTGACAATGTTTAATACAATCCGTTCGTAATTCTTAGGGGAACCTTTTACTGATTATAAAAGCACATTTAATACTATTAAACATAGCATGGTCACATTGTAAGATCACATTTTCTGGCAAATTTCTTTCGTTTTATACCTAAATCTGTATTTGGTCTACATTTTCGTATTCCAATAAGTTTAGATTTTTGTGTATTCCATACTTTGTCAAGTCTTCTGAGAACTACACTTCATTTCAAGTTCACACATTTGATCGACCAGAATCACTCAAAACATCCTCGTTTGCTGTTCAAATCAATTGTGAGAAATATTTCTCTAGATTCTCTAGACTTTTTTGTTTTGGAAATTTAAAGATCCAAGTTCTTCTCGCGGTACCATCTCGATTCCAAAATTTAAAAATGTGTTCCCGCGATCCGGCCTCCAATCAGTTGATCGACTACAAAAACAACGACTCCGAGGTGCAGAAGGAGATCACGACATCCAGTGGGATTCCGGTTGGCGTTAAGGATGCTGTACAGACGGTGGGTCCTCGGGGTCCGGTGTTGCTTCAGGATTTCCAGTTCCTCGACGAGATTATGCATTTCGATAGGGAGCGTATTCCTGAGCGGGTTGCCTATGCCAAGGGAGCTGGGGCCTTTGGCTACTTTGAGTGCACCCATGACATTTCCAAATTCTGTGCCGCCACAATCTTCGATAAAGTGAAAAAGCGCACAGCCATCGCCATGAGATTTTCGGTGGCCTGTGGGGAACAGGGTTCTGCTGATACAATTCGCGAACAGCGTGGATTTTCCGTTAAATTCTATACAGACGACGGCATTTGGGACATCGTGGGCTGCAACATGCCTGTATATTATGTGCGGGATCCTTCGCTGTTTCCCAGCCTAATCCATGCCCAAAAGCGCAATCCGCAGACCCATTTAAGGGATCCCGACATGTTCTGGGACTTTATGACCCTCCGTCCGGAAACGCTGCACGCTCTGCTCATGTACTTCAGCGATCGGGGAACCCCCGATGGATATCGCCACCTGCACGGGTACGGTGTTCACACCTATCGAATGGTCAATCCAAATGGGGAGACCCAGTATGTCAAATTTCACTTCAAAACGGATCAGGGCATCAAGAATCTGGACAGCCGACGATGTGACGAACTAATGTCCCATGATCCGGATTATGCAATCAGGGATCTATATAACTCGATCAAGAAGGGAAACTATCCCAGCTGGTCCATGTACATTCAGGTAGGAATATAAGCAATTAAGAGTCGTTGGTTAACTTTAGTAATCGATGGATATAATGGTTATTTTGTTCGTATATGTAAATGTATGCAAGTCATAATTGCCCGATAGGTAGCTATATATAAGCTATAACCTATTACTTCTATTACGATAACTATTTACATAAAATATAACACATCCGTTCTGCTACAATTATTATTTTAAAATAAATTAATTATAATTAAAGTGGTATAAAATAGATAGCTTTCAAAAACTAGGTCCAGAAATTATATATACTTGCAACTTGGGTATGAAACTAAGAATATGTAGATATAAAGGCTTTCTTTAGAAGAACAGAAGACTAGACTTCTTTACTATATTCAAATCTTGTTTAGAGTAAACAAGTGTAAATTGTATAAATTTAAAAATATTTACGACTCTATTACTCTTACTCTTACCTAATTCGAAATGAAACCTACAGGTAATGCTCAATGAGGAGGCTAAAAAGTGTCGTTTCAACCCGTTCGATGTGACCAAGGTGTGGCCCCAGAAGGACTTTCCCCTGCTGCCGGTTGGCAAACTAGTCCTCGATCGCAATCCCACCAACTACTTCACGGAGGTGGAGCAGCTGGCCTTCAGTCCGGCGCACATGGTTCCGGGAATCGAGCCGTCGCCGGATAAGATGCTCCAGGGTCGTCTATTTGCCTACGGAGATTCGCAGCGCTACCGCATGGGCGTTAACTACATGCAGATTCCGGTCAACTGTCCGTACAGGGTCAATGTGAGGAACTTCCAGCGGGATGGTGGTATGACGGTGACAGACAATCAGAGCGGGGCACCCAACTACTTCCCAAACTCGTTCTGTGGCCCCAAGGAATGTCCCCGGGCTCTGGCCCTGCAGACCTGTTGTCCTTTGTCCGGCGATGTCTACCGATACATGAGCGGCGATACCGAGGACAACTTCAGTCAGGTCACCGACTTCTGGACCTACACCCTGGACAACTGCGGCAGGAAGCGACTCATTCGCAACTTATCCGAACACCTGACCGAAGCCAGTCAGTTCCTCCAGGAACGGGCCGTGAAACTGTTCACCATGGTGCACTCTGATTTCGGCCGACTGATGACGGAGGCCCTGAACACGGCCAGAATTTCCAAGTTTTAGGATTTACCGCAAAACTTTCAAGTACAATAGTTCAAAGATTTTATAAAATATGTGGGGTACTTTGGAAAATTTGTGTTACAAAAATTGTATATGGTTTAGAAGATTGAGAATATTATTAAATGAGAAAATACATATACTGAATTGCCCAGAAATATATATGGATTCTGAATATAGAGGGTCCTATTGAATATCTTTCAACTGTTTTTTATTTGTTTAATTAATTATTAATTCTTGGAAATTATTAGGAGTTAAAAGAACTCCACTCGGTTTGATGGCCACATTAACTTTAATAGCGGCATGGGGTTTACATTTTCTAAATACATTTTGTTCAACTTGACCTCGAATATGAGTTTATAAAATGTTTTTTAATGTTTAATGCTTTTTCTAGCCAATCTTGGTTCAGCTCTATGCTTTGAAAGATAAAGCTAAACTAATTTGAAAATTGTATATGCTTTCACACCGAATTCACCTGCATACTTTTGGGAGTTGACCTTGGCTGCTGGCAAATTATCATTTACCTGGCTTATCTGGTTACCTAACTGATCTGTTGGCTGTGATTATACAACCCGGATGATTATGCCCTTTCGAAGACCTCTCCGCACCGCCACCCATCGAGATCTGTCATTAGCTAGCCGCTCTGTTTACATGCTACTCACGTGTCTGGGGTTTCTGTACTTGATTGAATTAACCCAAGTACAGCACAATCCATATTTATTGGGATATTTCATTAAAGTTGTACAATCTTAATTGCATATAAATTTATTTTCAAAGGTCACAAAATATGTACTACTGCTTCCAACTAAAATATGAGAATGTTTACTTCCTAAGGAAATAAATGGTTTTCACTCTTAAAAAAACAATTTCTAATGTTTAAAAAAAAAATTAATCTGAAAATATTTCAATATCGATTAAGTTTTTAGGAAAACTTTAAAACTATTGCGAATCCTTCAAACGAACAAGACAAACAGTCAACTTGCTAACCCCAAATTCTTAGCTTGCTTTGCACTTTCTTATTATTTCTTTCATTTTAAAACTATCATTATATATATTGAAAATGTAAAATGAAAATTATTTCTAAATTTCATATTTTTTCATCTAAATAAAACTATTTTGTATCGTTTTCAAATGCTTATACTCGGCTTGACATAGTTTGTAAAATCATGAAATGTATTTTTATATTAATAATAATTAATGTTGTATAGGGATAAAAATTCTTTCTTTTTTTTTAAATTTTCATAAAATTTGGTTATCTTTCCACTTTTGTAACGCACTGTACAGCGCACCCTTGATATAAAACCGAAAAGCTTGTCCAACTCGAATGTTTTGCAAATAGTAAATAATCGGCGGCAAATGTAGTAAACGTTGCCAACTAACTGGTTAAGCGACTTGAGCACAGTAACTAAGAACACAATAAACTTACTTAAAGCTCAATGGCCAGACGAAGTTCTTAGCTATATTTGTTGCTGTTATTGTTGTTTGTTTAACTGCAGGGCTTTTATCAGCGAATGTTGTTGCTTTTTGAGTTGTTTTTGCTGTTGTTGTTGAGTTGACCGCATGAATGAAAGCGAATAGGAAAATAAGGCAGACACACACTTGTTGATTTCTTTATGCGATTTCGTGGCTCGTTATAATTAACGTTTCTCCGTCTTTTTATTATTATTATTTTTGTTTTCTTTTTGGCACTTTTTGGGGGGATTTTGTTTGGCTTTTTGGTTTTTTATTATTGCACTTGTTGCCGCCGCTGTGAAATTCATCTCGGGCGTTTTTAATGAGTGACTTTTTGCAGGCCAGTTGTATAACTAACCGCACTGCATATTCATTTATATCAATCAAAGCGGAATAAATAGCTTATAAACATTGTCTTTGTTTTTGCCTTTTGCAGTTGTTTCTTCCAACGTCACTGGAATTCAACTACGGCTTCGCTGTTCCGTTACAAAGCGCTCCTCTCACTTATCACTCTCTCTCTCTGTCTGTCTCGCCTCTTGTTCTCTTCTGTTGACTCTCCCTCTCTTTCTCACACACACACCAGAAGGCAGCTGTTACGTAGTTGTTTTTGCCAAACAAAAATTCCGTTTGCTTTATAAGTTTAATATGCATTAATTGCATAAATTTAGAGTTTCTTAAAGAGGGCGGGGGCGCGAATGGAAAACTGCAGTTGATTGAACCCGTTCAAACACACACACACTCGCACACCCACGTTCCAATTGGAGAATGGAAGAGTACCCGGCGCACCGATTGACAATTTCCGACTGAAATCAAAGTCGCCAAAATCGAACGAAAAAAGGGGTAAAAATATACGAAAAAAAGAAACAGTGGAAAACGCGTGAGCAAAACAAGCCGCAATATTATCACATTATGTTGCTAATATTCTGTTTGACAGAGTTTGAAACGGAGCCACGCGAAAATAGTAACAAAGCGATTTTTCGAGAGTGAGAGTGCCATTGTGGGTGAGTGCGTGTGATTTCTATCACGCCAATTTTTAGCGATCGCGGGAGAGCGTTGCCAGAAGGGAGAAAAAAGCGCCGATCTGGTGGCACTGCTTCCAGATGATTAAGCTTTTTTGACATTCCGAAAAGCTTACAGCAGGCGCGAAATTCAAATGCAGAAAACTCGCACATAAAAAAAACTAATAAAACCGTAAAGATTAACAGTACATTATAAGTTTGATAACTAAAAATGATATTGTTATTTTATTGAAAATATAATTATCGAAAAACTAAATTTATATGTTTACTATTTTGTTAAAAATATACTAAAAAACTATAAATAAAACAGTAGGTAGTATTTTAAATTCACTGACATTCAATTCTAAAACTAAATAAAGTAGAAGTTTGGCTGAAAAAATATTTTTCCAAATTATAAATCTTTAATATTTTTTTTACAAATCATTAGAAGCTAATATTTATATTGACATTAAAAATATTAATTATTTGCATTTTGGGTAACTTAAGGTATTGAAATTCTTTCCTATAAATGTATATCCTTTTTAATACCATATTTCAATTTCTGACAAATTATTCGTATGAATGGTTAAGGATAACCATTCTAATATAAATAACAATCTTCCAAGATGAAATGTTTTTAAAAATACAATTCAAATTACCTTTCACGAAATGTGATGAATTTCGACCAATTAATTAAATAAAAACAAACCACAGGATAGTCACGACACCTGCATTTCAAAAAGTCAGTTAAAAAGAATAATAATCTGAAATTGTTCAAAATCATACAAATTTGTTCAATGCATATGTTAGAAAAATTTGTTTATTGAGATATTTTTTGCCAGCTAACTGGTACAGTGGGTCACTATGGGTATACATATACATAATTGGGGCTTTTATATAGTTATTAATTATTTTATATCTGAATGCTCACTATGATTATAAAATATATATATTTTAGTTGGTTTTGCATTGTGTATGCACTTAAAATTGTACATGTTTGAATATTTACAGTTAATTTAGCACATGTACCAGGTGTATGGTGTTAAATAAATAATAAATTAGCATAAAGCAAGTAGCTTATAGCGATTATAGAGAGAGGGGAGCTGAATGCATGACTTTCTCCATAAGGTTATGAAATGCGCTCTCTGGGCGACGACATTTTAGTGGTTTTACACTCGTTTTATGTTGTATATAATATTACGTATAGCTTTAACTAGGTAGAAGAGTGTACTCCGAATACGATTAAAAACCATTTAAGTTAGTGGGGGTGTTAAGAGTAGAACGTAAATTGCACTAGGCCTTAAATTATACATAAGCTTAAATTGTCACGTGCTGGAACTTGAATACAGGTACGAATTAGCAGCGGTCGCGGTTGTTGTACGCCTTCACCTTGGCCACGGTGCACTCAAGTGCGGCCCGAACGTCGGTGAACACGGGTACGCCCTGTCTTTTGGCCAGGTCGATCAGGTAGGACCGTCCGCGATTGTAGTCCTTAATGGCCGCCACGGTCAGCTAAAAAGGAAATGTAAAAGCTGGTTACTAAAAATTCAAATCAATTACTAAACTACAGATTCAAACTGAGGTGCTGTGTATATCGTTTTCTAGTACTCTGTGCTTGAAGCTATTGTATGCTTCGCAAATAATATTATACTTATTTATTTCACCAAGCGATATTTTTATTTAGTATTTTTTTATCAGCAATTTACAATTTCAAATACTTAGCTTTTCGAATTTTTTCATTAGACGATTCTTTTAAAGTTCTTAGAAATTTGAGTTCCCCTAATTCGAGATTTTTAAAAACATTTTAATTAACACTTGTTAAATAAAAAATAATTGTAAAATAAGGACGTTGAAAAAAATATTAAAACATGTTCAAGAATTAAAAAATTATAAAAACATTACATTATTAAAACATGTTTTTAAAAACATTTTAATTAACACTTGTTAAATAAAAAATAATTGTAAAATAAGGACGTTGAAAAAAATATTAAAACATGTTCAAGAATTAAAAAATTTATAAAAACATTACAAGTTTGTTTAAAATTTTACTAAAAATAATTTTTTTCTCTAATAAAATTTAATCTTATCATTAAATTTTGAGATAATCAGTAGATTGCGATGTTTGTAAAAACTAATGAAAGCATGCCTAAGTTGAAACCCGTGAAGATTTTTAAAGTTAAGTCGCAACTCACCTTTTCGCCACCCAGGACACAGTCCTCGGGCAGCATCTGCACCGCCAGGACCACGTTGTACATGAGGCCGATGCAGTGGGCGGCCAGGGTCATGGGTGCCAGGGAACGGGTTTCGTTGGTGATGACGAAGAGCAGCACCCGGCTGGAGTCGAGGAGCGATGGGTTGTACAGGCTCTGGCGCACGGCGACCGGTGGCAGTGACCAGCTGAGGGACTCCTCGGCGACGGTCAGCTCCTCCTGCTCCTCCAGCTGCAGCTGATTTCCCTTGCACTTTCTGCGAGTGCGCACAAAGGATCTCTGCTGCTGCTGTTGCTCCTGCGGAGGCGCCGACTGCTGCTGGGTGACACTAGCTTGATCACCCTGGTTGTGGATCATCTGCTGGATACTCTCATGCAACGCTGGGCTGTGGAAGCTCACACTCTTGGACTGCAGAAAAGGCACGGCCAGCTCCTGACGCCACTTGGTGCGTAGCACACAACTGCCGCCCAGGTAGACATCCCGCAGGTCCAGGCCACCACCGCAGCAGAGGGCATCGCCGGCACTGGCTATGGAACTG